CAAAATTAGGTTAAATGGAGTCAAAGTCTCCAAGTAACCTACCCTAGAAATAATATACAATTGTCTATAAAATGAAATAAAGTGTCTCACAAATACAAAGGAAAAAATAAGCCTATACAAGGAAACTATGTACAAGTTTATATACAATATATGAAAAGGTCTTCATCAATGAAACAAACCCTTTTGAAGAAATACCTTACATTTTCTCTCGAGTTATTCTCAATAGACTGAACAACTTTGAACCCTCCCGAGTACTCCTACTCGGTCAAGGACGAACAACTTTGAACCCTCCCGAGTACTCCTGCTCGGTCAAGGATGAACAATTCGAACCCTCCCGAGTACTCACTCGGCCAAGGATGATCAAATTTGAACCCTCCCGAGTACTCACTCGACCAAGGATGATCAAATTTGAACCCTCCCGAGTACTCACTCGGCCAAGGATGATCAAATTTGAACCCTCCCGAGTACTCACTCGGCCAAGGATGATTAAAATTGAACCCTCCCAAGTACTCACTCGGCCAAGGATGATCAAATTTAAACCCTCACAAGTACTTCTACTCGGTAAAGGATGAACAACTTGGAACCCTCCCGAGTGCTCCTACTCGGTCAAGGATGAACAACTTTGAACCCTCCCGAGTACTCCTACTCGGTCAAGAATGGTCCAATTTAAACCCTCCCAAGGTACACTCACTCGGCTAAGGCCAAATACTACAATCTCTCCCAAGTAGAGTACTTCGTCAAGATTAAAGTAAACCCTACCGAGTACCCTCACTCGGCTAAGGACGCATACCGCAAACCCGCCCAAGTTAAGCGTTTGGTCAAAGTTGATTACGCAAAGCCTCACTCGGTTGAGAATGAATACTACCTTTTCCAAGATAAAACACTTGGTCAAAGAAAATACATTCCAAAGTTCATCACTCGGCTAAAATTAATCCACGAATTACAAGTCATCCTTAACCACACACAAGGCCGACATAGTATACACATCCAGGCAGGATTAAAATACAAAAACTCAGAAAATAAACATGATAGAAACAACCTCGTCATTTACGCAAAATAGAGCGAGCACTACCGGCTCGAGGTACAACCAAGTATGAGACCAACGGGTCACAGTAAACAAAAGTATAACCCCCTAACATACACCAAAAAATCCCACCCCTATACATCATTCACAAAACAGATGTATTTAAGACCCTAACTAATCAATCATCAGTCACGGTGTGGTTACTCATCATTCTATCCTCAGCCTAGATGGTAGTGCCGGGGTCTTCAGGTGCTGCAGATCGGGACGGAGCTACCTCATCAGGTTCGGCATCCTCGGGCATCTCGTCATACTCCATATACACCCCTTTGTAGAAATCCTTGTTTACTTCAAAAGTGAAACCTGAAGGGATGCTACAGAAATACTGAGCCTGACGAACGGCATGCTTGAAGCCTGACTCATGCTCATGAATGATCTTGTTCTCACAATCAATCCGAAAACCCTCCATAGACGCATCCATGTCGGCCTTAGCCTTGGCCTCTCGCTCCAAAACCTCCTTCAACTCGATAATCCTCATCTTCTCGGCTTCTTCGGCATCCATATCACGACCCTCCATATCCTCAAAAGCTTCCTTCAGACGTGCCACTTCAGCCTCAACCTCCAACTTCTCAGTAGATGTCACCTCGTGCGCCTCCACCGAATGTTGCAATGCATCCCTTGTCTCTTCTAGAGACCTTTTCAACTTGTGTGCATCCGCTAGAGGCTCCAAAGCCAACTTCCGAAGAATTGCAGTAGCACGAACCTGAAGTTCACAAACCATTGCCCACATAGACAAAGGAGTCGTCGACTCAAGCATTCGATGCCCTTGTTCAGAAAGAAGATCTGGCGCTAGCATCTTAGAAGGTCGGACGTCAGGATCAAGGAAGTCACGTGCAACTATGGCCGAAGGGATGGCCAAGTCTGTGTGGTTCCTTTCGACACGCCTATGCTTGGTACGCGAACCATCGAGCGCATGAGGTTCCGATCTCTTTTTGCCCCTAACCCTTTTCCTCTTACCATGGGGATCAGGCAAAGTAACATCTTGAGGAGGGTTCGGTGCGTCAGCAGCTGAAGGGGTAGGGTCAATAACTACATTTCGGTGCTCTTCTGCAGAGATATTCGTCGGTGCCCGGTTACGCACTGCTTGTCGATATGAAAGTCCTAATCCTTTTTGCGCCATCCAACCTGCAAAAAGAAAAAAGTCACACATCAACCTAACTTAAAACCCGTAACAAGCTTTCATAAACACATACCCTCAAGATCAAATCGGGGCCGAGGTGCTCTCGGCAAAAGAACCAAAAATCGAGCTGGGATCTCTCGGGGCAACGTATTCAGATACGTCAAAGAGGCTTCTTCGTCCGGGCTGAGCATTTCGGCTGGATACTCATCAAATTTGCGAGGTGTCTGAGTCCAATAGAAAGGAAATAACGGACTCCCTTCATTGTCATAAAAATAGTTTCGACCAACCACTGGATCAATCATCACCTTTAAAAATCCAGCTTTGAAGCCCTTAAAAGAAGAAGCGAATGACTTCAAAAGAGGTCGATCCAAATGCCTTATTAATGACAACCACTTCACGATCCTACTGTTAGGGCGCGTGCAGAAAAAGTGTAAAAACAAACCAACACTCGGTTCAATATAGTGATATCTACATAAAACTCGAAAGGCTTGTACTGCCGCCCACCCATTCGGGTGAAGTTGAGTGGGAGCCACGTTCAAGACTTGAAGCACACCCATCTGAAACTCGTCGAATGGAAGTGAGAGGCCAAGGTCTCTAAACAAACATTCATACATGTAAAAGAAGTCACCCTGGCCTTCTCGCTTTGCAAGAAAAACCAAGTCAACCTCACCAACACCCTCTGATCGGCAACGACGAAACATTATAGGGTAAGGGTCAAGATTTTCCCATCTGGCCAATCGACACCTTTTTAACAAACGCTCTACGGCAACCCGCTCGTTAAAACGTGAGTGATAGGCCGCCACCTCCCCATCAACCCATTCATATCCCGGAATCTCACATGGGGGGAACTTTTGGCGATAGTCACGCGGATCCATAGTAGCATTGCGAATCTCTGACCCAGAAGTGTCTCCCGAACTATCAGTAGCATCACCACCTAATAGTCGCCGGGAAGAACTAGCAAGCATCTCGACTTCACTAAAATGGGAAGTCTCTCCCGAGCTATCAGCAGCATTACCACCTAATACTTGCCGGGACGAACTAGAAGACATCTCGACTTCACTAAAATGGGCTGAATACCCCGCACCGGACGAAGAACTAGTAAACCAAGAGGACCTAGAGGACCCTTCCGTCTCTTCAACAGTAACCATTTCACAACCCCAAAAGACCCAAATTGAAAAAATATGCACAACGTACCTTGACAAGTATTCGGGAGAGAGCAGCGGGCTATTTCGAAATGCAAACGTGAATTACGAACAAGCATATAAAGACCACCTATAAATAGACACCAATGTCACACAAAGGATACATCGTCAATATAACAGATACGTCCGTAATTTAAGCACGAAATCCAAAGAGATATGCCCATAAGACAAACGATGCAGTTACAATACCAATATACAACCACGGTAACGTCAATTTAGTAACATTACCAAAGCAACCGAGTACATAACAGTGTTACGATACCTCCCTCGGTTAAACACCTTTTCAGTCATCCGTACATCCTGAAATTAACACCCTTCGGCCCAATGAAGTGACATCCTTCAAACCTCCCACCTAAAAGGGATGCACTCTTTCGACTACTGCAAAGTCTAACACCTTCACATCACGCACAACAAGTTTCTTTTGCCATAATCGAGGACGAGAAAATTGATTGAACTTGACAACCCTTAGTCATGATGAGAAATCCTTGCGTAAAGCAAATGCACCACGTGAAACCCAATTAAGTATATAATTGGTTATATACTTGCAGGACCCAAATCAAACATGTTCGGGAATAAAGTTGAAATCCCATGCATAATCCAATTGCTATAATTATTACTTGTACGACAGGTATCAATTTATTGGAATAAGCTCCCTCACCCCTTCGGCCAAAACTTTTCAATTCAGTTACTAATAAAAGAAGCCGAACACCCTCTTCGGCAATGAAAGTGTTTCCATAGCATGAAGGGCTATTACCTAATATCACCCGATCCAGAGCGTACTCGACCATTGTATAAAGACTAACACCTTTATCAAACCCCTTCGTCATATTTCCTTGGGCTTGGGGGGGATGTGTACTGGGAACCGAACACCCATTCGGTCAATGCACAACTTGAAAGAGTTTGGTTACAAGTTAGGAACATTTTTGTGTACTGGGAACCGAACACCCCTTCGGTCAATGCACAACTTGAAAGAGTTTGGTTACAAGTTAGGAATTTATCATCATCAGCATACTGAGGAACCGAATACCCCTTCGGCCAATACACAACCCGAAAGGGTATTTCTCCACAAGGTTGAACAGTCGCCCAATCACCAAGTTTGAAGGTCAAGTACTAGTTCAGCTAATGCATAACCTAAAAGGGTATTCGGTCATAATATAAGCCGAATACCCATCATTATTGAAGTTACATTACGCTAATTTTGGTTAGATAACAGAGTACCACATCAACCCAAATCAAAGGATAAACTCAATTTATTAATCTCTTAATCAAAAAGGCCCATCAGGCCCAAACAAGTCACTATAAATACAATATTGATGGGACAGAAAGGTAGGTATGATTATTTAATACTGTAGCATACATTGCTCTATACCGAATACTAACTCGAGCGTCGGAGTGCCTTTGCAGGTACCCTCCCCCACCCTGAGGACAGTATCCGGTCGGCACCGAAGACTTGCGAGATCAAGAAGGAATTGCAAGAGGAGTGTTCCCGAGCAGGAACATATGTCATTCTCGTTGTGTAAAGATAATTGAAGATATAATCCTCAAAAATGTTGGTGATGCTTTTGAGTCATCTGAGCTCTGACATCTATGATAGTGGGTAAAGTTCTCAATAATTTCTCTCATGTAACAATCAACCCTTTACAGAGAGCAGGATTATTGTTATATATACAAGTATAAGTGGCCAAAGAAAAGATAAGCTAACTAACCATGGTTAGACCTATCTAATGTAAAACTAACTAAGACAAATACAGGTACAGAGGAAAAAATAGAAAAGAAAAAACTAATGAGAGAAGCCTTATTAATCCTAATACCCCTTCTCAAGTTGGGCCATGTATATTGGATAAACCCAACTTGGAGATAGCATGAAGGAAAAGCTTTGGATACAAGGATTTAGTGAATGCATCAGCTAGTTGATTTGCTGAAGGAACATGAATAAGATGTAGTAATTCTTCTTGAAGTTTGATACGAATCAGATGACAATCCACCTCAATGTGTTTTGTTCTCTCATGGAAGGTAGGATTTTTAGCAATTTGGATAGCAGATTGACTATCAGAAAATACAGAAAATGGGGCTGGAATCTTAACAAAAAGACTGTCAGATAGGAATTTCAACCATTGGAGTTCACAAGTAAGGGAAGCTAAAGCCCTATACTCAGCTTCAGAGGAAGATCTTGAGACAGTAGACTGCTTCTTTGATTTCCAAGAAACAAGTGATTTGCCAAGGAAAACACAATAGCCTGTGACTGATTTTCGTGTAGTTGAACAAGTGGCCCAATCTGAGTCAGAAAATGCTTGAATTCTGAGATGATTTTCAGCAGGATAGAACAGACCAAGGCCTGGTGCTCCTTTAAGGTATCTAACAATTCTCAAGGCTGCTTGTAGATGTGGTTCTCGGGGTTGAGAAACAAATTGGCTCAGCTGTTGGACTGAAAAGCTAATGTCTGGCCTTGTGTTAGTAAGATAAAGTAATCTGCCAATTAATCTTCTAAAGCTAGTTGGATCATTTAAGAGGGAACCATGGTCTGCATGCAGTTTTATAGCAGGATCAGCTGGTGTAGGTGCTGGTTTAGAGCCAAGTAAACCAGATTCATCAATAAGCTCTAAACAATATTTTCTTTGATTTAGAATGATCCCCTTCTTAGATCTAGCCACTTCAAGACCTAAGAAAAATTTCAAAGGACCAAGATCTTTAATCTGAAATTTCTGATGGAGATGTTGTTTAACAATTTGAATTTCTGAAAAATTATTCCCACTCAAAACGACATCATCAACATAGACAAGCAAAATTGTGATTGAAGAACCTTGTTTCTTGATAAACAAAGAATGATCAGCTGAACTTTGTTTATAACCCAAATGAAGCAATTCAGAATTCAATTTCTGATTCCAATTTCTGCTAGCTTGTTTTAGGCCATATAATGATTTTTCCAATTTGCAAACAAGTTTGGAATCAGGTAATTGTAGTCCTTGAGGAGGCCTCATGTAAACCTCTTCCTCTAAATCTCCATGTAAAAAAGCATTGTCTACGTCCAATTGATGTAGAAACCAATTGTTAGTGGAAGCTAGAGCTAGGAGAAACCTTACA